GCAAGACACATGGACTAAGAGCTGGGCAAGAAGCTGCAAAGAAAGGAATCGGATTCATTGAGGTATTGTATTGATGTGTTGCTTGTTGTTACTTTCTGAGATATACAACATAGACCGACTTGAGGGTAGAAATACAGTCAACTTGTCAGTCAGCATTGATGACTGACTTCTACCGCCGACTAAAAAATGTAGAATTTGACGTATGCCTCAGTTTTCCGTCTTTAGATAGTTTTTTTTGGATGATAGACAGTATGATGAATATATAAATCTAGTAGCATAAAACTTTCTGCCTATTTATTTTATTACTTCTCTTTACTTGGTTATAAGCCTTTGAATCTCTCTGTAATGTTATATGTTGTGAAGCAATTGAGTCCCTCATTGATTAAAAAGTTAAAAAGACTACAAGTACTGGATCTATAATCTAACTGGGCTCTCCCACCTTATAGGCAAGTATTTTGGGTCAGGCTCTCCTGTTTACCCTTTAACAGTTGATACCAGAGCAGGTTGATCAACTCTTGAGGCAGCAACTTGGAATTTTGGCCCAATAGAGTGCCGTGAGTAGTGGCCTGGACTCGTCTGGGGTGCCATGGCCAACTGTGGCAGGGCTCAAGGAGTGGCCTGGACTCAGGATTATCAGTTGTAACAAGCCTACCCCCCCCCCCAAAAAAAAATAATGAGCTAAATGTCATGAAAAATTTGGTCACAAGAGTGGTGGCCCGAATCTAAACAAGTGGCACCAGCTGTGATCAACTTTGTCTTCGGTACTTAAGAGCGTGATTGTTTTGAACCAATTGAGTTCCTAAGGGTCCTAGTAATGGGTTTATCAGCTGAATGGGCTCTCCTGTTGGGTTATCTTAGTTAGTATATAGCCATTATGGTATTTCTTCTTCTATATGTCTTTTGTGCAAACCTCCCATAGGGTGATAATTCCCACTCATAGACGCCATCATTGGGTCATATGATTCTCAAGTTTTTGATATATGCCTGAAATTGGATTGCAGGCATTTGCATTGATTGGGAAGGAGGAAGGTATCAAAGGATATTGGAAAGGAAACCTTCCACAGGTATTTGCACCATTTTTCCCACAGAGTCACATTTCTAGTGGGTTTTCAGTGATTGCTTTTTTTAGACATCAAGTTGATTATTTTCTTTTAATGGTATAGGTGATACGGATCATACCTTATAGTGCGGTGCAGTTATTTGCTTATGAAACGTACAAGGTAATGAAACATCTTTGGAGAAAACTTTAACACTGGTTTGATTGTTTGGCTAGAATGAAGTTGATTTCACACTTTCTATTTACAGAAACTTTTTCAAGGAAAGGATGGGGAGCTTTCTGTCATTGGAAGACTAGCAGCAGGTGCTTGTGCTGGCATGACTTCTACTTTTGTAAGTTTGCATTATATGAAACACCAAATAGTTTTTCTAAGTTGTCCATTTGGCATATAATTTTTGCAATTATGTTTGCACAAGTGAAATAGACCTGGCAGAAACTTGGTGCTTATTGTCATCTCAGTAATGTTACTGATCTGAACGCTGTTGTTTGCTTTATAAGATTTATTCGAAACCTACCATTTGATCTCTCTTTCTTGCTCCCTTCCCCTTGCAGAGATGGGAATGAGGAGCCATCAGTATCTCAATTATTCATATTCCTGCTCTTGTTTGTGTTGTTATTTACTCTCTTTTTCATCTGTCTTCAAGACGGTTAACTTGTTGATTTTATGTCAGGTAACCTACCCACTCGATGTTCTCAGGTTGAGATTAGCAGTAGACCCTGGGTATAAAACGATGAGTGAGGTAAGAATTGGATAACTCAGAATTTTTGACTCCAGGACATATATGAATCATTATGTCAATTATTTTCAGGTTGCTTTAAACATGCTAAAAGAGGAAGGCTTTGCATCCTTTTATAATGGTCTCGGGCCCTCGCTCATTGGAATAGCTCCATATATTGCTGTGAACTTTTGTGTTTTTGACTTGTGAGCCTATGTTCTTTTAAAGATCCTTTTTCTATATCATCTGAAGACAGAGTCCTGGTGTTACCGTAACTTAAATGATACTTCTCTGACTGTCAGGGTGAAAAAAGCTTTGCCTGAAAAGTATCAGAAACGAACTGAAGCCACTCTGGCTACAGGTTTGATTTCAGCAACTATTGCCACTCTATTGTGCTATCCATTGGACACAGTGAGAAGGCAAATGCAAATGAAGGGTACACCTTATATGACAATTTTTGATGCCTTCCCAGGTAACGAATTCTAAACGATCGTCAATATCTGTCTCTTTTTGTAACTAGTTATGGAATTTGTCAAACTGTGTTTGTCTTCCTTTCACTGATTAGTCCACAGAAGGAGTGAGAAATAATCAACTTAATCTGCAAATTTCAAATTATCTTCTGAAGAACTTCATAGTGACCTTCAATTTAAGATGTTTAAAACCACAGGAATTGTACTTTATAAAAAAAAAAAATCCAAAAAACTGAATGTAAATGTAATAAACAAATGCTAATATGTTACGCTCAGTAAACAGATTATCCAAAGGCAGGATTGTTTTTGTTCCATCTTTCTACACTTAGTTCTTTTAACCTAAACCATATTTTTATCTTGCTTTGTTGATTCACATGTTCAGTGATCAAAGTTTTGCATGATCCTGATTCACAAGTCATGCTGTCCAAGTTTTTCCTAGTTTACTATAAGGGGTCCCAGGCTTGCTGCCTAAAGTGTAGTGTCTACCTTTGGGTGCTAGTACAACCTTTGGGTACACCGTTGTAGCCATAGATACATTGTGGTACAAGCTTCGCAATGCCCATACCCCAGCCTTGCTTTAAAGGAAAGCATTAATATGTTCCTTAGCCCCTTTTTTTTGTTTGGATTGCTTTCTCATAGTTCACCCCAAAATATGGTTCGTTCCTAAGACGGCAAGGTCCACCTATTTCAGAATCGAATTAATATAACTTCTGTTTTATATTATTTGGTTTTAACTAACATCTTCACACCTATCACATCATCCAATAATGCGGACAAATATCTACCGAAGTTAGATATAACAGATCAGTTTTTTCTTAAACTCTACTAAACATAGGTCATAATAAATGGGATGAGCGAGAAAAAGGAAATAGCTTTATGTACGAGCAGCTTTAACAAAACAGTTTTCCACTTTCTGATGTATCTGTGCTACAAATCCTAAGGTTCAAGTATCAAGAAGCACAAATTGTCAAAAATTTGATCACATTTTGATTTCAAGATGTCAATTCTTCAAACTTGTTAACTTTAAACTTCACTTCTTTGGGGAAAAAACGAACATTTAAAATTCAGTGACAGTTTGATTGTGTTGTGGTTTTTGAAGTCCATGTTTAACAAGCTCGAGAGGGGATTGTTCCCAGGGTGAGTGCAACATGTGATGTGTGAATAGGCAGCTCGTCACAGGTTCGAACCCTGTGGCAAACAAAAACCTGGTATTTAAGTGGAGAATGGTGGAGGGGCGGACCCATTATCTATCATGTTTGGAACTGTGTGCCACTGACCCTCGGGGATTAATTAGTTATCAAAATAGAAAAAACAACTTGAGAGGGGATCTGAGTTATTCTGAAATGAGAAAAATGTTCAACCTAATACACTTTCTAATTGTTTAAGTCACCCTTTTCTTTTGCAGGTATAGTGGCACGTGATGGTGTAGTTGGATTGTACAGGGGTTTTGTTCCCAATGCACTGAAAACTCTCCCTAATAGCAGGTGCAGTTTTCTCATTCCTATTGCCTTTTTAGGGTCTCTCTTCACTCTCTTTATGTTCTTTCTTCCTTTTTCTGTTCATTTTAAACTTAGGTTATATTTGACAGTTTCTTTTGTAGATCTTGGCATAATAAATTGGTTGATTTGATTGATTTAGTCTGGCTTGCACATTTTAAATCATGATTGGCCAAGTCTTTGGCTATGTTTGCTTAAGAAACTGCTTGAAGAAATACTAAGAGCATCATTGCCATCTGCAACATATTAATATTGTTTATTCATCTGTCTCGAGCTAGGTTCACCGATTTTTAGACCAATTGTAAATCCAGAGACTTCACTTGAACTATCATATCTGTGTTGCAAAATAAAAAACTATGCCCTGATGACTTTCTTTCTTCTCATCGTTCTCCAAGGGAACCATATAAGGGATTACTATTGTTACCATGTACAGTGATCATTGCTAATATTTAACATCCTTACCTAACATATGATTGTCTGTTTGTCTTCATTTTCTGGTACAGCATTAGGCTTACTACTTTTGACACTGTGAAGCGTTTGCTAGCAAGAAGTGAGGAAGAGTTCCAGAAAATCATGGAGGAAAACCGCAGGCAAAAGGCAGAATAATTCCTAACTACTGCACCAAGTAGATCTGATTCGATGGAGACAATTGATCTCGTCATTTTGAAGCATTGGTTCGACGAGCAAGAAACTTAGCTGCCAGTACTATAATATATTACCTAGAGCTCCATTTTGTAAAACCAGGTTTAGTTGCCAGAATAGTTAGGTTGTGGCAATATCTCTGTTATTTTTAGCTCATTTGAATGTATAATTACTTCATTCATTTGTGTATTCTCATGTATGCACTATTTGCAGTCTCCTTTATCCTTCTTTTATTTCCACATTGTAATGGCAAAAATCAATTACTCAAAGTTCAAACATAAGAACAAAATTGATGTGAGATTAGATGGAATTATGGTGTCTAAATGCAAACAATTGCTATTGTTATAAATATTGCAGACTTTAATCTATTGTACTAATCAAGATTGCAGATCTAGACCATCAACAATGACACATATTAGCATTGGGTTTAATAATAAAACAACAGATAGTAGCACAACATGAATTGTTTTCTATATATAGAAAAACAATTCTTTAATCAACAACTTAAGTTCCTCAAAGGTACATCACACAACTTCTCTATTTATATTTCGAAACACATCGTTTAGCTCATAAAACGTTGAGAAAAGAGTTTCCCTTCGCACTATCACCATCACTCTGTCTAAATGATTGGATGGTACTGTCCAGATACTCTTCTTCGAGGCAATTTTTGCAGAATGTAGATGAAAAGAGCTGAAGGAAGAATCTCTACGACCATATAATATATCATTTTCAAAACAGGATGGTCCAAACCACGATCATTATGATGAAAACACGATAACACTGCCACAAAACAGCTAATGGAGAAACACGTGAAACATATACAACTCACATATCCAAGCTCACTAAGCTTCTTTCTCCCCCCTCTCCATTCATCAAAATATCGCCATACCATGATAAATAATCTCCCACCATAGATTAAAACGCCCAAATTTGCAATAAACGGTATAACTGCTACAAATATCTTTCTAATGAACAACAATTTCACTAGTACTACTGCGTCATTGTCATTCATCGCGATACAAATCCATATACAACCCAGAATCAAGTATATTACACAATTTATCGAAATATACCAAATTTTGAGCTTACTCGTAGGAAAACTTCGAATTTTGTAATAAACATCAGCCCAAAACCAAACAAGGTGTGTAAATGTTGTAAAGAAAAACAACCCTTGTAGGTCTAAAATCGCGCGAGTCATAAGCACATTTGAATGTAACATAAAAAAATTGTTATGTAATCCAAAAACGATTGCACCAACACTATTTGCAACAAAAATCATCATATGAAACACTTTTTGTGTTGACCAACCATATAAAGGTATCCTTAAATGGATCCTTATCACTTGAATTAGCGCGATAATCGAAACAAAGGAATACAAAGCACAAAGAGTGAAGAAAATTCCATGTTGCCATTGAATGGACTTGTTGATATCGTACCACCAATTGGTCACCCCAGTTGGGAACAACTCAAGTAGTAAACTCATCATTAATTTCCACCAGTTCGTCACCCAATTGATGATGTCAATTGGGGACGAATCAAGTAGTAACTTCATCATTAATTTTAATTTTCAATGTTATCAATGTGGAAATTGGAATGTAGGGTTTAGTTTATATAAAGGTTAGCGCAACGTAACGGTCGATTCCAACTTGAAAAAGATTTATAAAATCTACTTCTAATTAATGTTAAAAGGATTTATCATGTGTTCTTTTTTTAAAAAGGCAAATAATTTGCGGGCTTTATATAAAATATTTATGGCATAACAATTTAATTTATACAACTTAAATTAAAATATTTACATTATTTCTTTTATATTAGTTTGTTAGGAAAATAATAATATAATTTTAAATTTCAAACGATATAATATAAAAAAAATATTTTATCTTTAATGCCAAGTTTTTGTAATGATAAAAAATTATGACATGTGTAATATTTTACATTTTAAATAATTCACATATAAATGTCATGATGTTTTTAAATCACAAATTTCAAAAATAATATTTTTTTGTGCAATTAGACTATCTCATATAAATTAAAAACAAAATATGTAATAATCATATGAGAAAAAAGTAATATACTAGCATTAAAAGACTACTAATAACAATATTTGAGTATTTCTACTTATTTGACTCCTCGCCAAATAACACAACTTGTTTCCAATTCTTTTTTGGATTAAAAATTTATGTAAAACAAACATTTTTTTTTGCAAGTGTATCACTAAGCATGCATGAAGTACAATAGCGGTTCGGACTCTCCCGCTCCCCGCCCGTTTACATTTCAATAGAATTGTGCATTGGTCAGTTTAGTTTGATTCTACATATTATCAATTTTTTTATTTTCAAATACACTAAATCCATAAGATATTTTTTTTTATCAATGATACATTGTCCACTATGCAAGACAAGAAGGGCAGAATCTTTTCTACCTCATTGCAAAAAAGAGACTGAGATGACGAAGTGGATGCGCCAATTGATTTCCTCCAACTTCTTGCTTAGTTTTTGATTTTTTTTATTTTTTGGTCTTTAACGGTTCAGTTTTTTATTTAATCAATAAGAAAATGCTTATAAAATAAATATAGGACTTCTCCAACAATTTATTAGTGCGAAGGGACATAATGTAACGTTACATAATACTCATAGAATAGAAACATTAGTAACTAACATGAAAAGAACTATACAAATGCAATATAAATAAAAAAAACAAAGACAATAATATGAATTAAAGGCATAATTCACTTAGACACCTTAACTAGGAGTTTTACCTATCGAACACCTTTACCAACCAACATCTGAACCTATCATCTTGAAGAATCTTCTTCATGCAAGTTAGGATTTTTAATGTTTTTAACTTGTTTTTATGTAATCGTTTTTTAAAATGAATTTAAATAGCTTAGGTTTTTTAAAATCTAGGGTTTGTGGTTTGCTAATATTTCGTCTATTTCATACAACTCCCCAGTAAATATGCATTTAAGATTTGATTTTTAGCTGTTGTATAGGTTATATGAGTATATTCTATTACTTAAATTGCTTTGTTTGATATGATAAAATTTTGAAATAATAAGTTTTTTTCCTTATAAAGGGGAATGAAAGTATTCTAAAATGGCATATAACCACTTGTTACTCACATGTATTTCTATCTTTACAGAAATAGCCCAGTATATCCTTTTTGACTAACCAGGTGAGAGTTCAGGTAGCTAACCAACTAAGCTACTAAGATTTTTTGAATTTATAGTCTTAAATATATGGTTTAATATTAAAATTTATCTTGACGCGATAAAAGCGATAAATTTGACAAACACATCTAAAATAAAAATCGATCATCAAAATCAAAATTGTGCTAGAGTAATACCCCCCCCCCCCCCCCCCCCACCCCGTCCTTGATAAGGGCTTGAAATGAGGATATCAAGAATAGTTTGAAAGATAATTATGATCATGCGAAGGTAGTCGTTTTTCACTCATGTTTTGTTTGGGTTCAATTATGGATTATTGATGAAAATCATGAAGGTCGACCTATTGATTGTATTCTATTCCCCGAAGTAAATGATGCGAACTTCAATCATAACCATAAACAACCCTAGTGAGAATGTTATGTGCAGATGTTTAACATATAATCAAAAGGGGATAGTTGAAAAGGTGAAGTAATATGAGGGTCTTATGTGATAGAAGGAAGCATATATAAGATCGACAACATTATATTGGAGTAAATGGTGGATCATAATTAAAGTCCGACACACACATACAAAATGAGTGTTGTGAATACTAAGATAGATGTGTGCTCATACAATACAAGATGACACTATAAATGACTTGAAAAGGTCCAAGTAGAAACAACATATAGTATCGAAGAACTAGAAACAAGACTAATACTAGGATTACTATAATGGACATTAAGTCAATGCACTCCGAACTACTAGTATGGACACACTCCTATATTTATTACCCTTCTATCCTAATTCGTGTCCTCCTCACCTTCCTACCTTAGGTCATGTCCTCGGTCAGTGAGCTATAACTGTGTCATGTTTTGTCTAATTACCTCTCTCCAATACTTCTTCGATCTACCTCTACATCTCCTGAATCCATCCATAACTAACCTTTCACATCTCCACATTGGGCCATCGTGCATCTCCTTACACATGCCTAAACCATCTTAACCTCGCTTTCCGTGTCCTGTCTTCCACCAAAGTCATCCCACCTTATCTTGGATATTCTATGACTACAATGGTTCATATTTTATATATATATATATATATATATAATATAAGTGCTATTACTCATTCAGATACAACTTTTTACATTATGAAATTTGCCAAACAATCCATGATCTTGATGTACGTAGTTCTCAGTAGAAATATGGCATGTTCTTAACTTTACATCCTTTTGTATACACATGTTAAAATTTAATGTAATACATTTCAAAATTAGAAATATGTGATCTCAATCATTGGATAAAAAGGAAAAAAAATGACTCCATAGATTTGCTAAATGGCATATGCATTCATAAATGCGACCCCCTTTGTATAGTTGGAATTTACACATCACAGCAGCAAAGGTAAGAGTTAGTGTTTCAATTAATTATCAAACAAATTCATCCGTTAAAAGTTTTGAAATTATAAAATACATGAATGTGAGTTGTAACATTTATTTTTATTTTAATTCTACGTTATAGATGTTTTGTAAGACGCTTTTAAAATTCTACGTTATAGGTTTTTGGAAGTTAAGTTTTTCTTTTCAATTCATGAACCTATAATAAATACTATTTAATTAAAAGTATTTTCTTGTAAAACTTTTGTCCTATAAATTGAGTTTCTTTTGGTTGAAAAGACAAGCACTCAAAAAAACTACTTTCACTCGAAAACACATTTGTGAGACATTAATTAAAAGGTGAAATCACCAATTCAAGATAGAAGAGCAATATTCTTGAATGCTACTAGCTTGTTGTGTGGCGTAGTTGAATTCCGAAGATATAGTTGTTATTTATTCTTCCGTTTGCTCGTGGGAGATACTCCAACTATCTTCAAGAAACGTATTAACGTGCCTCTAAGCCAAGCAAATTTTGTTTTGGATTCCTTGTATTTTTATCATTCTTGTTCAGTTGTTCTAGCAATTTGAAGATAAATGTCTCTATGTCATCCACATCAATAACGGACACTGTTCCATCTTTGCCTAATCCTAATTTTGAAACATTTGATGGAAGACTTTCCTAGATGGCGTGGAAAGAAGAAATTCTTTTTAAGACGATTAAAGTTGGCATATGTTCTTGAGAAACCTTGTCCTGAGGCTCCTAGTTCTGAGGTAGCAACGGACGAGGCTACTTTAATTAAAGAACAAATTGACAAATGGCAAGATGATGATTACTTATGCAAGAATTATATTCTTGGAGGAATGTCCAATAAATATTATGATCAATATTATAATAAGTGCAAATTTGCTAAGGAGATTTGGGATACTCTTAAAGCTATCCATTTAGCAGAAGAGGCGAGTTAAAAGAAATTTCTTATTTCAAATTATATGGAGTTCAAAATGGTTTATGACAAGTCAATCACTGAACAAGTACAAAAATTTCAACTTCTAGCTAGTAAAATGGCTATATCTGAAATTGCTCTTGATGAAAACTTTCATGTTGGTGCTATTGTCTCAAAACTTTCTCCATCTTGGAAGGAGTACAAAAGCAAACTCTTACACAAGAAGGAAGATTTGACTCTTGAACAATTATTGCAGCACTTGTAAATTGAACAAGATACACGATATTGTGACAATAACATCCTGAAGGAACCCATCATGAAAACTCATGTTGCTGAAGAAAAATCGATCAAGAAGGAACTTGCCAATAATAAATTTTTGAAGGCAAAGAAGAGTAAAAAATTTCAAGCGTATTAATTCCAATTCTAAGTCGAATGAATGTTATCATTGTCATAAAATTGGTCACTATGCACGTGATTGTAAAACTCTTAAGGTTGAAAAGAAGAAAGAAGGCAAATAACAATACAAAAAATGAACTGGTGTCAATGGTCACAGAAGCATTTGTAGCGGGAGATCAAGTGGAATGGTGGATAGACAATGGTGCAACTCGTCATATATCAGGTAATCGAAATTCTTTCACGACCTATGAATTAGTGGGGAATGATAGAGTTTTGCATATGGGAAACTCATCCTCTGCTAAGGTTGTGGGAAAAGAAACCGTTGAACTGAAATTCACTTTTGAAAAGTTGGTCACATTGATAGATGTATTGCATGTTCCTGATATTCGAAAGAACTTGGTGTCGGGTATGCTTCTTTCGAAGCATGATTTTAAAATAATTTTTGAGGCAGATAAATTTATTTTGTCTAAAAAAGGCATGTTTGTTGGAAAAAGTTATGCTACAAATGGAATGTTTAAACTCAATATTGAAAATGAAAATATTTTTGCTTATGTTGTGGAGTCTTTAGATTTATGGTATGAACGTCTTGGTCATGTGAATTTTAGATCCATTCAACTTATGGTGAAAAT